GGAAAAATCCAAGCTCTAAAATTATGGTAGACAGAAATCTAAAGTGAGTGGTGCAGGGATGAAGCAAGAATATGTGTGCAAAATGGTGACGCAGGAAATAAGTATGCTTCAAAATGCCTAAAGGAGTGCAAGAATGCATTTATTGTTTTGGTGGAATAGGAAGTATATGGAAGGCTGGATCAGGAAATTGTGATAAGTAAAATGATAAAATTAGATGTCGCTGACTAAAGAAACATTTTCTTCCCCAAAGAATCATTCTCTCCTTCATTGATTTATTTAGGCTCTCAGTGTTTGCCCTGTTTGCTTGGTGTTATAAAATCTTCTTAACTTGGTGGCCTATTTCAATACACCAGTTTATACAATTATTTATTAAAAGAAAAACAATATTTCTACTGTGTGCCGCCTACTGTGGAAGAGTCCCACTTTGTTTTGTTGCTGCTAATACATATCTGATTGAAATTTTTGTAAAGGTGGCCTGTATCTATAAAGCACAGATACTCTTTAATTCCAAAGCCCCTCTGGACAACACACAGACCCTTCTTTAGTATGTGTACAGCACAACCTTCCAAATTTACTTCCTGGCTAGCCACTAACTAGAGTAGCTGTGTTTTAAAGTCAGAGCAACACAGATTTTATGAATCTCTTCTAAACCTCTTAACAAAAATTAATTCTTCCTTCCACTGTACTCAGCTAGAACATTTATCACATTGTATCCTGGCTCCTGTAATCTTCTGGATCAAAGAGAGCCATGCCACGTTATTTTCATAATTTTTTTTTTTTATTCCTGGAACCTATCACATTGTCTGGCACAGCCGTAGGTGACTAATTAATGTCTGTAGATTCTTTGGTGAATAAATAAAGGATGAGACCTTCTTTAAAATATGTGAAGCAAGATTATTGGAAAGAGCAATCAAATTTTCATCCTCTGAAAAATTTCCTTTCCTAGTAATAGAAAACGTGGCCACCATACCTATTTTGTCAATGTAACTCAAAGCCATTCTTTATATAAAGTCTCCTCGTCTGTGTGCCTCCCCTTGCTCCCCCAAGAATCTTATAAATCCTGGCTTGAAGGCTGTTGTGGGCTGCTTGCACAGAGAGAAGAGAGAAAAGAAATGTTTTATGCTTTCTAAATCCCTTCCTGCCACTAGCAGTCTGATAGCTCTCTATCAGGAATTTCTCTCTCTCTCTCTCTCTCTCTCTCTCTCTCTCTCTCTCTCTCTCTCTCTCACACACACACACACACACAAATAAATAAGTAAATAAGTAAATAAATAAATAAAAAGTTTTGAATACCAAGAGAAAGAATAATGTGAAATCTGCAATCCCTTCTTCCAGAGCTTCCAGCTGCCAATACCCAACAGCACTTGGAAGTCCATCAAAATAGCATTCTGGTGATAAAAGGGGGGCGGGCCTTTAGATCCTTAGAAAATGATTGAAATCTAGAAAATGTGTGTTTATGCTTGGTCTGAATTTATTTCCCATTTATGTATTTCAAACGCACAGCAACTTTAATTTTGCTGCCAGTGATATATCATGCAAAGGAAGCCTTCCAAAAGGGAGAGGAAAAATAAGTGGGGAGAACTGAGGAATTTTTAGCTCCTGCTCCCTTTACCCCCACATCTCCCACCTGCCTCCAAACCAAAATACAGTAGCTAAGCAGTTTGTTGTGAGCCTCCTGGAATGTAATTTCCTTAGTAAAGTAACTCAGCTCTAGGACCCAGATGCCCCCAACGCGCCCAGCCTCCATCCTCTCCCTCTGGCCCTGTGCAACCTTGTCCCACTGCATTCTATGGCCCTTCTCTGGGAGCTTTATAAAGAATGAATTGTCCGCAATCAGGGAAAACGGATTAGCGTCAAATTAGGAAAGTGGGGGGTTACTCCTTAAAAAGACAGGGGCAAGCTCAGTAGGGAAGCCGCAGCGGGCTTGTGTCTTGTAAACCTATTCCGGAATCTTCCCAATTTGGCTCGCCAGTTTGTAGAAGTGACTGCACAGTCTTACAATAAAGAGCACGGTGGCCTCTCCTCTGCAGTAGCAGCAGCAGGGACTGGAGCCTCTCTCTCCTCAACTTCCAATTTTCAGTTCCTTCTTTCAGTTAAGGGGACTTCCAACCCTGAGCGTCTGCCTTCGATCTTTCCCTCCCCCACCGCACCATTTCTTTGGGAAGACAAATCTCCCCTTCTAGGGAGCTTGCTTTGTGGAAGACAAGAGACTGCCGCACGGTTTTAAAGAAGCTGTAGTCTTCACATCCTCTTCCTTTCCGCGGGCGGGGGAGAAAACAGCGGAAATTTAGCACTGGTAACTATTATTATTACATCTGAAAAACTTGCCCTCTAAAATGCCGCTAAATGTACTTTCATTGTGAATAGTGAAGGTGCGAGCTGAAGGGGAGAAAAGGGAGCGCTAGGAGAAGGAGGAAAAAGGGTGGGGGAAGACCCTGATCTCGGTGTGATCCCGGGGTTCGAAATCCGTGGTGGCCCACAGTGGCAGCCCCCATCCTCAGCACCAAAGCGCACTTCTGGGGAGTCAGGGAGCTGGAGGGAGGGGCCGTGAGCTGGAGCGCGGGAAGGAACTAAGGGAAGCAAGGGCGGCTGCGCGCAGGGAGCGCGCGGGGCAGAGCTGGGACTCGCCACTCAGCCTCCTCTCTGCCCGCCAAGCCTCTCTGCCGCTGACATCATTGCCAGAAGGAGGGGCTGCCCGAGCAAAGGCGACTGGAGAAAGGGTTCTATGGCCTCACTCGCGGAGGCGCTCCAGTGCTGCTTGGCAAGCTCAGCGCCCTGGCAGTGGCGGCGGGACTCGGATCACCGAGCTGCGCGCGGCAGTTCTTAATTTAGCAGAGGGAAGAAAGGTATCTTTAGACCTTAGCACGCCCATCTCTCGGTTCTTTCGTCAAAACCGCCCTCACACAGTCCATGCTGTCTCAGATGAACCAGACAAAGACAAGAAAGGGGGGAACGTACATATACTGTTACTTCGACTTGCATTCAAATGCGCCTTCCCCAACACACACACACACACACACACACACACACACACACGAAAGAATAACACAGAGGTTTAGATTTCCCGCCTTGATTCTGAGAATTTGTCTCAAACAAGATTAAAAGTGGAATTCCATTTAGTCTTTTACCAAGTTACAAAGGTGCCTGCAAGTAAACCCCTCCCCATTTTTTTAAGTCACACCGTTTTACTTTTTAGGGAGGTGGAGGAAGATGGTCGCTTTAAGTTACAAAGCGCTGACACCTTCTTGGGTATTGTGCTCAGCGTTCCCAATTCTTCTCCGCAAGCTCCTCAGGTTGTTTTCTGGTCGCTGCGCTAGGACTATGCATGCGGCTCCTCAGAATTGCTCTGTTCCCATCTTTCCCGTCTAGCCGGATTTTTTTACCACTTTTGTACCCCCACTCAAATATCCTTTGTACAGAAACAGCTCCTAGACTAGGTTTAAATCCATCCCGTTTGGGGATGTTTCTTCGCAAGCAAGGACACTTTTTGGGTAATTTTTGTTACTCTTTGGGTGTACTTTTATTTTTTTCTTTTGTTTTGGCTTCTCTTCTCTCCTGACTTTGCTTTGTGGATGTGTGCCGCAGTAGCGCAAGTTTGTATTCCCAGGCCCCAAGGTAACATTTCGGAAGGGCACTCCGTTCACAGACATGAGGGATAGCCCTCAGGCACGCGCACACACTCATACTTCACAGGCACACCCCAGCTCCCTGCACCTCAAGCCTCAAAGGCGTCTAAAAGAGCGACCTTGCAATATATCATTCTGAAAGCAAAGGAGCCTTCATCAGTTAAGCTCTGAAAGTCCTTCCTTGGAGGAGGCAAAGAAGTGGCTTCTGCTATTTGGTCTGGGATAGTGACTGCCCCCGGGAGGCGAAATTTGTTACCAAGTGCTCATCTGTAAGTCATGTCTTCAACCCAGGACTTGTCGCTCTGCTTTTTTGAGTCTCTAAAGAAATATGCTCTTTTCCAGGTACCTGCTTTTTAAGTCACCTTTTTCCGATGACGCTCTTAAGAGGCATTTCTTTTTGTGAAAAGGAGACGGTTTTTGGCTACACGCTTCTGGAAACCCCTTTGTGGAGAGAGAAACATTTTTTCGGGTCTCTTAGAAAACGTCATGTTTATGGGATAGGTGGGAGTTTTTGGCTAAGGGAATACAAGTCATTTCTTTAGAGAAAGAGGAACCCTTTATGGTTCAGCTACACTCTTAGAAGTCATTTTTAAAAAAATGGAAACAGTACTCCGTTTTTCAGCGATGCAAATATAAGAAGTTGCTTTAGAAATAAGAGGCAGAAATTTCCACACCTACCCTCTCCATATCCAGCAGGTGTGGCCTTGCAAGTAGGGCGGGAAGGAAGGGCCAGGAGGTGAGCACCGGAAGGAATGGTCAGAGGGATCCTATGTGCCACATGGTATGCAGAACTCTTTAGCTCTGCGCCAAGGGTCGCATACCCAAGGGTTAGAGCCAGTGTGTAAGGGATCCAAACCCAAGCGCCCAGAGAAAGGAGCGCAAAGGGGCTGGCCTGGCAAAGTCCGAGTCTGATGCCAAGCTTCTGGCATTGCCCTTCAGCTCGGACCGCTCCCCAGGACTCTGGGGAGCGATCTTTTCTAGGCACCTGCCCCAATCTTAGAGTTTCATTCAGCCAAGCCGAAACTGTCCATATCTGTTAAAGTGAAAGACATTTTTGCACAGCCAATGCAGGGAAATTAATGTGTGGACACTTTTCTGACAAAAGTAAGAGTTGTCACAAAGTAACTAAACCAAGCGCGGCAGTGCCAAAAAAGATTCTTTCTGAGCTCACCTACTGGATTTGCTCTTTCTCTTACCTCTAGGGAAGAGAAGGGGAAAGGGGGAAGCGAGGACACCAGTAGCATCTTTGAAACCACCCTGTGTGCATAGTCCAGACCCCAGGCATAGGCAGCAGGCAATCTCCACGCACTAAATGCGGGACATGTCATGCCTCCCCGGCCGCAGTCTGTTCTGGCACCCAGACAGAATACTTACCCAGTGAACGACGCCTTTTGAGTAGAATGAAGAGGTAAACGAAAGAGAGAAAAGGCTTCCGCCCGCTCCACGGAGACTGCGATTGCTGTAGCGGGCTCTACCGCTACAGCTCGCAGTCCGCGGAGCAGCTGGAGTAGTAGAGGTTGTTTCTGAGGCTGTTTGGGCTGCCCGGACTGCCTGGGCTGCCTGTGCCACCGCTGCCACTGCCACTCAGTGCACTCTGTTAGGCTTGCTTTCTGCTTTGCCGCGCGGGCCACTGCGTGCTGCTCAGGCTCACGGATCCTCCCGCCCTGACAGTTCGCCGACTGCAAGGAGCCAGAGCCGAGCCAGCCCTTTTTATTGGCGAGGGGGTGGGACTATACAGAGGGGGAGAAGGGGGAAGGAAAGGGGGTGAGCGAGTGGAAGGAGTGGGGAGGAAAAAGTGAACCAGTGCCCGGGCCGCCTGCTGGGAGGGGATGGCGCAGCACCAACTGCCGGGTACCCCCCTCTGGCCCCCACTCCCAGCACCCAACATACCCCGTCGCTCTGGAGGCGGCCCCTCCCGGCTGACGGAGAACCCAGGGAGACGGGCGGGGGCGAGATAGAGGTAAGATTAGGAAGTTACTGCTCGCTGCCCTGGGAAAAAGGCGGAATGCGTGCTGGTGGCACACTCGCGTGCGGGACGAGCTGCTGGGAAAAATGCGCCGCTTTCAGGGAACATGCTTTCAGGAGCAAAAAACGAGGACATTCATTGCTCCCTCAGTCCTCCGCTCATTGCTCTCTTAGTCATCCCTTTAAGTTTCACTCATTGACATTATCTTAGAGAAGTTTGATTTTTTTCTGTTTTGTGTGCTTTTCTCAAGATCCCCCTGCTCGCCCTGACTCCATATAGAGAACAAGCACCATTTTCTCATACAAAGGATACTTAAGGCAGAATAGTGGAAGTAGGGGCAGGAGCCAGGCAAAGACGCAGTTTGAACCTACAGGCTATTTTTGCGTATATTGTATTCAATTGTTAGCGGTGTCTGTACCTTGGTTGCCTTTCCAGATTCATTGTCTGGAGGTGAAAAAGAGGGATTTGAGGGAGAGATCTGCGTTTGGCTACCCCAGAGGGCAAGTAAGAGTGAGCTTATGCAGGTATGTTGCCTGAGGGATGCTTTGGTGGGGGTCTGGTCGCTTCGCTGCTGGGGACGAGGAATCATCACGGGTGTGGACAGCGCGTTTTCAAGGTAGAAAAGGATGCAAGAGAGTTAGGAACCCAGCCCAGAGCTTCAAGGCTGGTGCTTGTCGCACACTTTCGCTGCCTAGTGGGCGACACCAGGGCGGGCATCAGGGTGCCAGTTTTCCCAAGACCATAAGAGCGACTAGGGACAATGTTTATGGATTATGGGTCAGATGTGTGGTGAGTATCAAGAATCAAGGGCAGCAATATCAAAACCTGCCCAGCTTGTCTGCTCTGATTGTTGTTTCACTATCCAAGTCTTTAAATTGACCCAGAGGCCAGAGAACGATACAGGTAAATTCTCTAAATTACCTTCTCCAAAGGTGTTGAGTTTGGGGGGAATAATTCATCTTCTGTGTTTAACCTGTAGAAAAACTTAATTTTTTTCTGGTGCTGTGCTTCGATTTTGAAAGGAGACTTTCTTTCCAGAAATAAAAGGAGAAAAAAGTAGACTGTTTTCTGCACCTCGAGCACAGGATCCATTTTTAAAATTTATTGCTTAGTGAATGGAATGAGAAATAACATCTTCATAGGGATAGAATATCAAGAAGGAAATATTTTTCTAATTATTATGAGTTGATTTTCTCTAAGAGCTTTTTCACAGAAAGTTTTTTTAATTGAAGGGAAAATCTTTATGACTTTTCCCCCAGCATGTTCCTCTCCATATTCTTAACTGCCTTCCTTCCAATTTCTGATATTTTTAAAGGCTAAAATCTTGGTTTAAATTTTCCTCACATCACTTTTTTTTTCTGCAGCATTATTTTTTACACCTAAAACCACTACAGGGAGAAACATCAGCACTGCAGTTCTGTGCAGTCTGCATGAAGGAAAACAAAAGCAAGTATTTGCTTGCACAGGTCTAGGGAGACACTTTAACATTACATTTTATTCCCCTTTGAACTCTACCTCTATTATTCATAATATCTAGTACATGCATTGCCTTCTTCTTGGGAGCAAAGAAATGTCTGGGTAATGAAATAAGAAGCTGTCAAATGGTTGCTGCTCTGACTATTGGGATTTGCACAGCTAGATGAGACTCTGTCATAGGGGATGGCAGATACTCAAAGAAAATAAAATCAGTGATCTAGCCCAGTGTGGCAAAGCCACACCATGATTACTTTAAGAGTTCTACTAATTATTCACAACACCCACTTTAGACCCCAATGAGTAGATTTCTTAGGATTTTCATCCCAATCTGGGGCAAGGGAAGAGAACTATTCAGTGGCTGTTCTGAAGAATTTGAAGTTATAATCATGACAGAATTATGTTCATATGACATTTGCTGAAACTGAAGCGCTCATAGTGTTTGGGAAATTTGCACAAAAATGTGGAGCTAAATAGTACAGACTTTTCATTTCTATTCAGACTGTATAAATCCTAAATGCAACTACAGGGACCTTGATAATCTGGATTCCTCAGTAGCCTAGACTACAACCTTTAGTATTAAGTGTATAGTACAATAAAAAAAAATAGTTTCTCTAGAGTAGAATCATTATTTATGGGCCAAGGAGATTCTACTAGTTGAACTGAGTAACCTAGAAAATCATTCAAGAAATTTAGTTTGTTGAAAAGACTGACAGAATTCCACATCTGAAAATAATGGAAAAAAAAATCCTATTTTCTCTTCTCTTGTGTTCTGACTGATGGTGGCACCAATGAGCAATGGAATAGCCAAAAGCCAGAACACCTTGCAAAAACTCTTGGCATTATAACTCTAAAAGGACTGATGAAGACTCTGTTCTGCTTACAGAGAGAAGGACTTTACTTTATTGAATGCATTTGTGCACCATCTGCATTATATAAATTGTCCTATTAATTCTTGTAATCATTTTTATGAGGTGGATATTATTAGTTTCATTTTTTAAGCAAATCAGGATGCAGGGACTAGGTAAAATGCCTAAGATTTTATAGCTATATAAATAGATTGGGAAATTCAAACTCATATTATTTCCAGTCCATTTTGCTGTCTCTCAGCATATGGTCATCAGATTGTGTGGTTACATGTTTTCAGGATGTATTTTGCATTAAAAATTGTAATTAGAGAAAAAAATACTGTGAGAATCTGTTTTTTTGAGCTACTATAAAATAACTATGATATTTATTGCATTTTGTTTTTTTCAATGTGTCAATTTGGAATCTGAACCTTGATTCTGCTATGATCATAAAAGTGAAATTATGGTAATATATATCCCGTAAACATGGAAACATGCCTACTCTCTTAGGATTAAGCTAAAAAGCCATTATATGATTATATAATGGATCAAAACAGAGATTTTTACAAACTTATGTGAGTAAGGATGTTTTTTAGGCCTGTAAAAATCGATTAAAACTGAGAAATAATGTGTTAATCTGAAAAAGGATTGATTGTGTACTAGTAAAGGAAGACACAAAGAGAAGAGCATTGGAACTGCTTTTCCATGTACATTTTATCTCTATGGCAAAATCACTTTGAAAATAAGATTGATAAGGCCAATCAAACATTCCATTATTTCAATTGTCCTTACATGGAAACACCTCTTATCAAGCAATCTATATCTGATTGTGATTTACCTACACAGAGAGAATATACCCTTAAGGGAATAGATAACAAGTACATTTTATCCATCATACAACTTTGCATTAAACCAAATTCCTTTAATTTTTGTGCTGTACATAACAACTTGCAGTGTATATTGTGCATAAATTTTGTAATCAGTAGATCATAATTGCTACTGAGAAAGTAGGTAAGACTGGATACAATACTTTCCATATATTTTTTATGTTTTATGTTAAACTATCAACGATAATTATAATTAGTAGAGGCTATAGTACCTAATAGTTAAGAAAAGGACTTTAGACTTTCAGGTCTTCCACTTTCTAGGTGTGTGACTACAGATAAATTGACCTCTAGTTCTTTACTTTCTAATAAGATAATCACTAGACACATGTGGCTATTGAATACATGGAATGTGGCTGACCCCACTTGAGATGCGATGGGAGTATACAATTTACACTTTATTTTGAAGACAGCACATGGACACACACACATATGTTATATATATCATTTATATTGCATATCACCTACATGATGAAATGATAATATTTTCTGTAGGTAATGAAATAAATATATTATTCAAATTAATTTCATCTGTTTTTTTAACATTTTAAAGTGTCTGCTGGTGGAGCTGGGGTTGTGGCTCAGTGGCAGAGCACTCGCTTAGCACGTGAGGCACTGAGTTTAATCCTCAGCACCACATAAAAATAAACAAATAAATATCCAACTACAACTAAAAGACAATTTGGTTTAAAAAAATGTCTGCTGGAAAATTTAAAGCTAACACATTTAGATTGTATTATATACTTTGGGGACAAAGATGTCCTAAAAAGCTTTAGTTTCTTCATCTAAAAATGAGGATAGGGGCTGGGGATGTTGTTCAAGCGGTAATGCGCTTGCCTGGCATGCGCAGGATGCTGGGTTCGATCCTTAGCACCCCATAAAAATAAAATAAAGATGTTTGGTCCACCGAAAACTAAAAAAAATATTAAAAATCCTCTCTCTCTCTCTCTCTCTCTCTCTCTCTCTCTCTCTTTAAAAAATAAATGATAAAATAAAAATGAGAGTAGTGACCTATCCACCTCAAAATGTAAGATAATGTACCTAAAATGCTTAGCACAATGACCAGTATTAAGTTAAAGAGTTGTCACTTTGCAAGACTTATGAAATAAAGCATTATATAAGGTTAAAAGATAATATAAAATTTAACTGGGATAGGGACTGCCTAAACTGAAAATCTTAATTAAGAATTTATTTCTTTGTATCTCAAGTAAAATCATTCTATTTTTCTAAGAGTAAAACCAAACATATATTTGTGGTAAAAAGTATATTGTGACATACAAAAATGGTAAACGATAAGCAAGTACTTTGAAAGTCAAAAGGACTTTTTTCAATTCCAAGCATCTTTACTAACATTAGTGTGGGTGCTTTTGTATTTAATTGGTAGAAAATTGTAGTGTTTAGGCACTCTAGTCACAATTGAAAGTAAGTCTGAAACTGATACAGGTATAAAAACAGCAAATAAATTTCTGCTGAAACTAAAAATGTAGAGATGGGAGAAA